CTGAAAGTCTATTTGTGTTTTGTCATTTGTTTCAATACGTTTGGTCATCTCTAAGAAATTCATTCCTTCATTTACCCATTTGACTAATATTTATTAATTTTCTAAAATCATATGCAGGGTATAGTAACATGGCTGTGGCTGAAGGGTCTTAGTAAAGTAGGCACATCTATTTCATCAATGTGCGCGCTTAAATTTTTATACTTCCAAAGCCACTGGCCTCTTCTACTACCCCAACAGGACCTGACCACTTCTAAGGGCCGATTCTCCCACATGGTATATTCCTGCAAGCACATGAGGCTCTGGAGGGGACTATCTTACAGAGACAAAATAAACCATACAGTAGATTTTAAAGTATTTGTCTTTACTATATATTATCCAAATGAAAAATAGAGTCAGTAGTTGAAAACAGGTCAGAAATCTTTATCCCAAACCACATAACCTTATCTATTAAGTGTGGCAAAAGTAGCACTTCTTCCAAGCCAATATAGCCACACCTGTTATCTGTGTTCACCTTCACCTGGAGTTACCTACCTCCAGAGCACCTCTCCTCCCACTGTGCCCAGCATGGAGCAGCCAGATGCTGGGAGGGAGCTTAGTTGACTGATGGGGGCAGTCAGCCAGCTGCAAGAGGCTGTGTGCCTACAGTGTGGTTTCCATGTTTTGCTTGAAGGTTTATGAAGGTTACGGCCAAACTGAGTGCACAGCTGGATGTACCTTCACCACACCTGGGGACTGGACCTCAGGTAGGATGGACAGCAGATGTGGGAATAACTCACCAGGCACCGTTGAGTTAAAACAGCTGCAAAATATTCTCATGGGAAGTAAATTTACAAGGTCACTTTAGAAAAACAGCAGAAATAGAAGAAAAACATTGGTGGAAATTATGTCTAGGTTGTGGGATTATGGGTCTGTTGTTCTTTGTTACATATTTTTGCATTTTCCTACTTTATTTCATTTATTTTGTAGATAAATAGAAGTAATATTTTTTTAAAAAAAGAAGTGATAGATCACAAAATGTAGCTCCAGATGAAAAAATTATTATAGCAGTAAATATCAGTATACTAGATCTCATAGATTCTGAATACGAAACAGCTCTGCTTATAGTCATTTTAGAATGTAGCAGGCTATGAATTGGATATGGTTAAAGAAGGAGAGGCAACTTCCTCATGTTCAGAGCACTGTTTCTTAAAGGGCCATTTCCAAGGCCCTTTGGGAACTACAGTCTCCTATGACATTAGTGTCTAGAAGGCAGTGGTAGTAGCCTCAGGAAGGAGCAGGTCCTACACAATCCCTCATTCAGAAGAGACTCACCTTTCAGGGTAAAGAGGAAGCAGCAGGTGGCCCCTGTATTGTCTATCGTAAATTTAGACCAGATACTGGAAGACTCTGAAAACCATTCAGCAAAAGAATCCTTTAGGATACCAACTTCCTCTGTGAGCCCAGGGCCACTCTCAGGCTTCAGTTTGCTCAACTGCAAACTAGGAAACTTGGGATAATGCGCATGCATAAGAAATATGCCCAGTAATGCAATCCTGTTTTCAGGGCACCTTGAGGTAGTCAGCAGAAACATGATAGGTGGATTCTAAGTCAGAGTCATATTTGGCCAAGTCAACTGCAGGAGCATTTTACCCTGAGTTTTTATCTTTTAAACTCTAGCTGAATAAAGCCTTTGGTGTATAAATTCTTTGATCTTTCTACCACTGGCAAATCTACTACAAGGACTGTCTTCTGAGGTCCTGGTTCACGAACGTTTTTTATTGCTGCTGTCATATTTACCGATCGCTCTCACGCATCCCTCTTATGTCATTCTCTATGTATTCCTACGTAAGGCTTTTGAGGGGTTGCCTTTTTTGTTCATCCTTACCACACAGACTTGCAAAGGCTATGGAGCATAAGATAGGTGTCTCTGTACAATCATGAAAGATTTTTCAGCCTCTCATTTAAAAGAGAAAACAGCGTCCCCACCTCATTTTTTATCTCCATGGCTCTGTCGCTCATTGTTCTTTCAGGACCTTAGCCAGCACCTTATTAAAAATCTTCCGCCTTGCCAGTGAATTCTGTAACAACCACACAAAAATTACTAGAAAATGACTTCAGTGTAATTTTGTGGTTGGAATGTGTAAGGTCAAGAAAATTTGAAGTCTTATTTTTTAGGGGTGCATTACCTCGTTCTGTTTTCCATTTCTTTGTTATTCAAAGTGTAGTGTGTGGACCAGCAGCATCATCACCTGGGTGCCTGTAAGAAAAGCAGGATCTCAGGGCTCATTCCAGACCCACTGAATCAGAACTGCATTTTAACAAGATTTCTAGATGACTACCATGCACATTGATCAATAGTGTGATGACTAGAGGAAAAGCAATGATGACTGTATTTTATGAACCCCAAACCAAGACGTGGTCGGACAATGGGGAAAACCTTTTAATATGGGCACTATTGCAAAAAGTCCTGACCGTGTGGTTGGTGTGGGTATGAGCCCCACCACAGACTCTGCAGGTTGGTGCTAGGCCAGGTGCACCTGTCTAGCTCTTTCAGAATCAGATGTAAAACAAAGGCCCTCAAAGGCTGGCCTCTCCTTTCTCTAGAGCTTTGTTTTATCATCAGCGCTTGCCTATGACAAATGCCCATCTAAATATGTATTGCTTTCCCTCCATAATTCCCTCCTTTGACCACGCGGGGGGTTTTGCATGGCATGGAGCACCTTCAGTGCTGAAATTGATCTGAACACTGACCAAGGCCATGTTGCTCTGGTGTTCTAGGGCACGTAGGGGCGCCTCTGCCCTGCAATCATATCAAGCTCATCGATGTTGAGGAACTGAACTATTGGACCTACAAAGGAGAGGGAGAGGTAAACTTTCAGCATTTAGCCATTCGTGTCTGTGGATGCTACATGTAGTGAGTAAAAGAAAAAAAAGGAATTATTTTCCTTTTACCCTATATGTAAAACTCACTTTAAATTACTGATTAATTTGACTCAGCTGAATTCAGTATTTCTTCTCCTGTTTATGAAACAAGGCTGGGGCTGGGCTGGTCTAAATCAAGATTTGGTATTTCCAAACTTTTTCTAAAATCCCATTTTTTTCCTAAGTGGCATGGCCTGCTGCTGTGGCTCTGTCCCAGCAGAAACATGGCCTGTTGCAGATAGGCCAGATGGGGTAGATAGAGCTGGCCTGTACCCAGCCATCCCACGGGAGTGTGCACAAGTTGCCTGGCTGCCTGGTTGTGAAGCAGGGCCTGAAGGCTCTCAGGTAGAATCAGCTGCCCATCGGTATCTGATGTGACCCCATCCAGTGTCACAAAGCAGCACCTGCTGAAGGCCAGGGGGTTCCTGAGGAAGAAGAGATGGTGGAGGGAGGCCTGGGGTGGCCAGGGCAGAGAGGAAAGATGGAGAGGATGCTGCTTGAGAGAAGGCAGGAGACAGCTCAGATGCTGGTGGCTGTTCTGTCCTCTGTCATCATCACCGCCGTTTTCACAATGGATTTCCTGAGGGGTAGTGTACAGTATTCTACACTTGCCCCCTAACAGCATCACATCAGGAATCCTTATGCTGTGGGCTGAGAGAAACCGGTGTTTGTCCCTACAGATATGTGTGAGAGGACCAAATGTGTTCAAAGGTTACTTGAAAGATCCAGACAAGACAAAGGAGGCTCTGGACAGTGATGGCTGGCTCCATACTGGAGACATTGGGCAGTGGCTGCCGGTGCGTATGCTGGGAACCATGGAACTCCAAACATTTGGGTGGTGGGTGTAAATCTGATTCACTCTGAGGCAGGGGTCTTCTCCGTGTCCTGCCTGACACCTAGTCATTCAGGAACACCTCTAGGGATTGAGAGGTTTCTTTACTTTGCCCCCAAGCTTCCTCCCTCACCCTCCTGAGGCAGGTGATAGGGATCTTTGTGGGAGGGTAGAACTGGAGTGTGGGACCCACTTCCTACCCTTAATGGTTCCCAGAAGGACCTACAGTGCTGTGGAATCTGATGGGTGGAGTACAAGGAGCAGGAGCTCATAGCTCTGGAAGATCAGAAAGGCAGGGGGTGGGAGCCCACGGACGCTGGCCCCCAACTGAGAGGTGGCACTAAGCAGCAGGAAAAGCTTGGAGCTGGGCCAGAAGACGGCTGCATTCCTTTGGCTCTGACAGTAGTGGCTCTCGTGACCATGAGCAAAGCCTCATCCCTCTCTGGGACCCCATATTGACTCACTTGTAAAATAAGAATGTGAGGCTACAGGAAACTCTTTGGCTGTGGTCCCCAACTTTTAGCCCAAATCAGCTCTTGTGCCTCATTCTGTCATTTGTAAAGTGGGGATAGTACCATTGCTTACCTGCACAGTCATTGTTGTGAGGAATAAGTGAGGTTATGCCGGTAAAGCACTTAGCACAAAGCCTGGCACATAGGACATGCTTAGATGAGAGCTATGAGCAGAAAAAGACTGTCCCTGAAACCAAGAGCCCTCACCTGACAGAGCCTGCCCCAGGGACCTCTCTAAGGTTTTGGGTCGACGCTCTGAGATGCTGAGTTTATTGGTCATGTGAGTGGTGTTGAGCTCTCTCCAGGGCTGGCGAGCTGTCTGCCCCTGCTCGGATCTGCATGCTTCCCTTTGAGAAATGCTCACTCCTGCAGCAGACAAGGATGTGTCCATAATGTGTGCCCTGGGCCAGGGACTCTGCTCAGGGGAGAGACACTTCTTTAGACAGTTCCCAACCCAGTGCGGTGGACATGAACCAAGGGCCACACTCACCTGGGGAGAGGCAGAGGACAGGTACCTACTGGGTCTGAGTCTCAGGATATGAGTCGTGCCCTGAGTGGGAGGAGAGAATGGGAAGGACAGTCAGGGCAGGAGTAATAGCACATGCTGAGTAGAGAGACACTAGAGGTATAAAGCAAGCAGTTCTAACTGAGGGCCCACAGAGATGGAGGAGGAAGGCTGGAGAAGTCAGCAGGGCTCTGGACACTGACGGGATAGATTGTCCCATCAGCTAAGGAAGCTTAGGCTTCAGGTCCTCTCACTTGCATAGTCCCCTTCCAAGGTTCTGTACTTCATTTTATGCTATTTTTCTTAATCAGGACTCTCAAATTTGGAAAAAGCTTAAAGCCCCACAAAACCTTGGCTGCATGGTAACTTGCATGAAACCACCTGCCTTGCAGAGTGTTGTGAGCAGCAAGTAAATTAACTCATGTAAAGTACCTGGTACTGTGTTTCAACTCAAAGCCCAAGACAGCAGGCAGGCAGTCTGTGGGAGACAATTTTTTAAAATTATTGTTTGGAAATAGTATTAAATAGATATAGCAAGGAAAAGGTATAAGCTGCTGCTTTTTCTTCTTTTTTTTAATGTTAATCCTTACCCAAGGATATTTTTCCATTGATTTTTTAGAGAGAGTGAGGGTGGAGGGGGGGAGAGAGAGAGAAACATCGATGTGAGAGAGACACATCAATTGGTTGCCTCCTGCACTCACCCCAACTGGGGCCTGGGAATTGAACCTGCAACAGCTACATGCCCCTTCACGGGAATTGAACCCCCAACCCTTTGGTGGGCAGGCTGACATGCCGGCCAGGGCTGGTATAAACTTCTGATCCAGAAACACCTGGTTCAAATCCTGGTTCCCCTACCTCCTAGCTGTGTGGCTTTGAAGGAGTTAAGGAACCTCTCTGATCCTCCCTGTCCTCATCAGTGCTATAGAGGTGATGACATGGGCTTCCAGGAATACCAAAGAAGCCAGGGTAGGGAAAGTGTGATGTCCAGCCTGGCTTTTGAGCAAAACAGAGCCTGCCTGTTTTTCTCTTCTGGAGAGATTGCTCTGGTTCTGGTGGATCGAACAGATGGAGCAGGAACAGAGTGTGTGTGTGCAGAGGTCCAGTCAGGAAGTGGTTTTGATGGAAAGAGGTTTGTGCCCGAGAATGGATGCGGCTGATTGCTAGAAGTCCCAGGAGAGGCAGCTGGCAAGGCCATCTCCAGTTTTAGGGCTTGGGGACTGGGACAGGCGTGAGGAGGATGGTGATGAGCTTCCTTTGGGGGCATGTTGCATCTGCAGACAGCCTGGGTTCTGATGCCTTCTGAGGATAGTTGAGTTCTGGGTCTGGCTCTCAGTGAAGAGGCCTGGCTGGAAGCTTGGACAGACATGGGAGTGACCAGTGAAGAGATAAATGGTAGTTACCTCAAGGCGCATGGCAGTGGAGGTGAGGAATGTACATCATTCAAGGATTGAGCCAAGGGATAGAGACCCACTTAGGAAACTCAAAAAAGGTCGAGGGGAAGCAGGGAGGTGATGGGGGTCCTGGAGGCCAGGAGCATAAGCAGTCACTACCCAGGGGGTGGCCTTCCTGCCGCAGAGGTTTTGGCCATCTGGCTGATCAGGTGGATGTCACCGGGGGCCTCTGCCAGAGCTGTGCTGTGTGCTGGGGACAGAGAGGCTACTCTTATGGGTGAGGCAGTAGCTGGGGTGACACCTAAGCATGGTTTAAGGGAGCAAATCTGAAGATGCTGTGAGAAAAGGGGCAGCTGCAGCACAGGCCTGGGTGAGAGGGAAGCCCTGGCGGGAAGGCAGGTGGGCTGTCTGAGGCGGAGGGTGGCAGGGGAGGAAGGGAGAAAGGGACGGGGTAAATGCTGACGGGGAAAGCACGGTGGCTGTGTAAGAGCAGAGGTGTCAGATGGAGGAGCGGATCTGGGTGGAGTCTGCAGGGTGGGACAGGACAGGAATGAGGGGCTATGGCACTAAGGTTAGCGGTTGAAGCTGTTTGTCCAACTCCACAGGCGGGGACTCTTAAAATTATTGACCGGAAGAAGCACATATTTAAACTTGCTCAGGGAGAATATATTGCGCCTGAGAAGATTGAGAACATCTACATCCGGAGTGAGCCTGTGGCACAAACCTATGTCCATGGGGACAGCTTACAGGTGAGTCCCCTGTGCTTCAGCCTCCCACACGTGCTGGACCTGCTGAAAAATCTGTAGTTATCTCAGAATGATTTCCTAAGTATTTAGTATTTGATTAAATGGTAAACATTAATTTCTAATCAGACACCCATATTCTCCTACATATTAGATTATGAGAGAAAACTCCTTTGTAAATGAGAAATCTTAATTGCTTAGGGTTTGATAAATTGCAGTTAGGTAATAAGTTGCTTGAAGTAGTAGTAATGGACACTCCCACTACTTTTAACTTTGTGTGTGTGTGTTTAATAATTTTTTATTTTTTTATTACAGTTGATGTACAATATTATATTAGTTTCAGTTGTACACCCCAGTGATTCGATATTTACATAATATACAAAGTGATTATCCCAGTAAGTCTAGTACACATCTGTCACCATACATAGTTATTATAATATTATTGACTATATTTCCTGTGCTGTACCCACTGCTTTTAACTATTGTTCTACCTACTTCCACAAGGAATGCTGAAGTAAGTTGCTAAAGCAAAATTCAGGATGTCTGCTGTTTTGGTTTTGAAATATGCAAATGAACTTCATAGATAAATAGATATGGTATTGCAAAAATGGCACTTATGATGATATAGCTTAATATATTAAGCTAATATGTTAATTAATGTGGTTTAGGATTAACTTATTTGGAGAGGATTTATCTTTTCTGTTTTCAACATCATTTAGATTTGAAGTCAGAAAGATCACTGTGAATATAGTCTTTGCATTCATTGGATTTAATCATTTAATGAACCATATTAATGAAATGGAGGACCATATTAATTAAACAACTTTTAAATGGTCAGGAAATCCTGAGATATATTTTGGTTCATAGAGTTGTTTGTTTAGCATCCTGAAGATGTACTCATGTGAGTTTAGCATGAGAATCAAAGGTACATGTAGGTCCACAGTATTTGACTATACATCCTTGGTGAAAGATATCTTTAAGCACAAAAGGAAGTACAAAAAAAATCTTAAACTGCTTTCAGTAATCATATTGTTAGTAATGATACAACGTGTAGGTCTAACTTTATTGATTCTTAATCTCCTTAGGCTCATTCTTTATTAATTTTTTTTATGAAGTTAGGGAAATAGATCAGAAAATAAATACTCAAGAATGTGTGATATATTGGCTGAAATGTTTCATAACACAGGCATAGACTTATTTTTAGAAAAGAGTGGAGTCTGAGAATACCAAGAGATTACTCTTAATGCTGGACCACAAATAACCACTTTAAAAGCTTTTGTCACTGATACGATATCGTATGCCAACTATACTTTAATAATTAAAAAAATAATATAAGGGCTTTTGTGATTATAAAAAGCTTTTGTCAATTTTGGTGATTGTTTTATCTTGGTAATTGGCACATCTTGTACTAGTATCTTTAATTTTGTGTCTATTTCAAAATTTTTATAATGTTTTTAGAAAAAAATTGAAATAAATATGATGAGTATGGGAAAAAGTGCTTTCGTGATGACTTGTTTTTCTTTGGTGGGATTGCAGGCCTTTTTGGTGGGCATTGTTGTGCCCGACCCTGAAGTCATGCCCTCCTGGGCACAGAAGAGAGGAATTGAAGGGACATACTCAGAGCTCTGCTTAAATAAGGTCTGTACCGTGGGGCTGTTTCCTAAAAGGTTGCTGGACCTTTTTCGATACTGCTTAATGAGAGGACAGAAGAACAGTAGACTGGCAAAATTCGAACACGTAGGGAAATTTCTAACTTTATAAATGGTGGGAATCCTAAACGAGAGCTTCATCTTTTTTTGTTGTAGTTGAAGGAACTTACATTTCTTCTTAGAAAGTTTGATAAACTATTGAATTTTAGAGCCAAGAGACATCACAGGAAGCTTGTCCAGCCCACTTATTTTGCAGCTTGTAGGAGAGTCCAGAGAGGATGGCAGCTTGCTTAAGGCCACACAGCTGGTTAACAGCAGTGTCAGATGTGAGCACAGGCCTTCTGACTCACTGGCTATGCTCTCTCCAAGTGTGAGGTAGATTTTGCATTTACTGGGCTTAGAAAGAGAGTTATGGAATTGAAAAAGTAATACAGTTCTTCCTGCTTAGAGCATTAGCCACTCACATTACAGAAACCTCGTGGTACATGGACGATCCTCTGGAAGAGGATCTCTGTGCTCTGGCTCAGCATCAGCCCCTCCAGGCACATGGTCCATTCCTCAGCAACCACGGACCCTATTGCTTCCACTAGGCCCTGGGCTCTTTTGGGGATTATGGGGCCCCTGGGACTCACCAGCCTTACCAGAGGGCCACTTAAAAACATCAAGTGGTTGACTTGGGGTGCTGAAAACACAACACAATATACAGATGATGTATTATAGAATTGTACACCTGAAACCTATATAATTTTATTAACCAATGTCACCCCAATAAATTCAATTTTTAAAAAATCAAGTGGTCCCTTAGCTTGTCACTCCTTTGGGCCTGGTACTTATTTGCCAGATGAGAGGTGATTGGCATGCTCCCAGGGAGTGTCAGCCCCAGTTGGAGGGATGGGAGTGAGAGCATGTTGGTATGAATTGTGGTTTTGGTATTGTAATTTTACCTATATGATTCAATTCAGGAGCTGAAGAAAGCCATTTTGGAAGATATGGTGAGGTTGGGAAAAGAAAGTGGACTCCATTCTTTTGAACAGGTAACTATAACCTTCCCCATACTTGTCACAGCCCTTTGAGCAGTGATAAAAATTAAATTAACCCGCAGTGACCCTGACCTAGATTCCCCACCCTCCATGCTGTGGCCTGCAGGCAGGCTTTGTACCAGTGGACCCCTGAAGGCCTGTTCTAACCTGACCGCAACAGCCTGCATCCTGAACTAAAATAGGTCAGATATCGAGTGAGACTGCTCGTTGTCCTCATAATCACAAGCATTCATAAAACTGAAATATTACCCTAGCTGTCACTACTAGATCATGTGTACATGATCTGTCTCCAAGCTGCCTGCAACTGTCCAGACCAGAGCCCTGTCTTATTTTTATTTTTATGGGGACACTCTTCTTGGCTGCAGCAGGCAAGCTTACTTGCTAGGACATCAGAAAAATTGTGCTCCTCAGGCCAAAGATCTGTTAGCCCAGCATGCCCTCTACAAAGAGGAAGAAAGGAAGAATGTATTAGGAGGGGACACAGTAGTCCTCTAAGACCTTTTGTCTTTGAAAGGTTGGGGTTCTTATTGTAACTGAGTTTATAAGTATACTTGGTCCTTCTTACATATATCATTTTTATACCCTCTTTAGTCAAAAATTCAAAAAGAAAAATTTATCAAGCAGAAAAGTATTAATATACTGATTATTAATATTTCCTAGTGTATAATTAATATAATTGGTTTTCATAAAATTTTGTTTCTCCAATAGGGTACACCTGAAACCTATATAATTTTATTAACCAATGTCACCCCAATAAATTCAATTAAAAAAAATCTAGTGGTCCCTTAAGCCTGTCACTCCTTTGGGCATGCCTGGTACTTATTTCCCAGATGAGAGGTGGTGATTGGGATGCTCCCAGGGAGTGTCAGTACTATACCAAATATAGCATTAGGGATCTGCAAGGCTTATGAGAATTTTAAATTTTGTATGTTCATTTTGATGATAATCTAAAAACATTTTAAAACCAGTTTTAAATATAAAACTCTTAGAGCAATTACTTGCAATTAAAAAACATTTCCACGGTTTAAGACTCAGTTTTTAAAATTTCAAACTGAGGAAATCTAAACATAGTTTCAGGGTCTGAGAGAATTGTTTTTCTTTTGAAATAGATTTACCTAGTTTGAGAAACACTACACTGCTCTCATCTGACAGCATATTTGAGGGCAAATAAGACCTGAATGAATAAATCTTAATAAAATTATAAAAATAAAAATAATGAAATCTGAGGCACTCAGTAAGTTATATTTATCTTTCTGAATGGAAAGGTCAATTCTGGCATAATAATTTTTTAAATTTCTAAATTTGGTAGAACTCACTTCATTGCTCTTCCATTAGGAAGCTGCTGACCAGATCGTGTGATCATGTAGAGCAGGGGTCACAGATGAGTGGTCCGAGACGTGGCTGGTCCCAGCCTCAGTGTTGATCTAAATGGCTGGCTCTGAGGGCCCTGGAGATGCAGGAGGCCAGGACCCGATTACTAAACTGATTAGCTCCTGTGATTCCTAAGGCCTGCATGCCCCCTTCTGGGCTTGGGATGTATGACCTGCCCCAGGGCATGTGGAGAATCGTAACATCTAGATTCCTCTTCCTGGAAAAGACTACCAGCTCTCAAGATTATGCTTAAAAGGCACTGTTGGCTATGTTTCCCGGGTTAACCATTGTGCAAGTTAGAGCTTTCACTGAGAGGAGATGTGTTCTTGACTTTCCATAAGCCTTGAGCGGAGTTACTGCTCTAATGATCTGCCCTCACCATGGTAACGTCAAATACAGAGACGCCATGTGGCATCCAAAAGGCCTGAGTTTTATTGCCAAGTCTGTCACCTCTTTGTTGGTCTGTGGCTTCCTCCCCACCACAGCCAGTGTACGTGCCCTCAGCTGACCAGGGGAGAGCAAACACCTGCCTGAGGAGGGTCCAGTGTTGTTACAAAATTCAACAGAAATTGAGTTAATCTATAATCCATCATCAGCCTGTCCTTTCCCTTTTCCTGAAATATGAATGATCAATTAAGGCTTACCACTAAGTTTTGAAGAAATACATACACACACAAATAGGTATCCAAGTTCAAGACTTAAATCATTCAACAAAAACTTTAAGAGTTCAGACTTACTGAGCAGGGTTGATATAAATTTAACTTTGAATTAGATTAAAAATTAATGTAATTTAATTTCCAGAAACAGACAATTCCTAGAACTAAGCCAGCCATTATTAATTTATGGAGATCTTTGGAAGATATATTTTAATGAGTGGATAGGAAGCATTTAAAATAACTATCAATACTTTTAAAATGTATGTCCCTGGGAAGTATCTGACCATACTTAAGTGTGCTTTAACCATCTTCTTCCCTTATTAGTTGGCATAGGCAGTACAAAATGAACCTCAACACTTGATAGATTTTTCAAATTCTAACTGGGAAGCCCTCATTTAAAATATTTATTTCCTGTCACTGAAATGAATACTTACCTAATCAGTATGCCTTTAAGTGAGAAATGAATTGAGCATTTTCCTAATTAATTTAAAATGTTTTTTCTACTTTATTCTTCTGTACTAAATTATTCACTCTGTGTTTATTATCTACAAGCAATATTGTACATTAATAGTATTTCATTATAACCATTGAAAGTTTCAAAATACTATGTTTCTTCAAAATTATGAAAAGTTCTGTGCTTTAATGACTTGGCATAAATCGATACTTTTCAGGTATTTTATTCCAATACAGTATTTAAATGTACATTACATTTTTTTTTAATCCTCACCCGAGGATATTTTTTCCATTGCTTCTCAGAGAGTGGAAGGGAGGGAGAGAGAGAGACATTGATGTGAGAGAGAGACATCGAGTGGTTGCCTCCCGCACGATCCCAACCTAGGCGGGGATCAAGCCTGCAACCGAGGTTCAGGCCTTTGTTCGGAATCGAACTCAGTACCCTTCAGTCTGCTGGCCAGTGCTCTAACCACTGAGCCAAACCGGCTAGGGCTATTTCCATTCATTTTTTCACATTTGACAGTTTAGTTGTATTAGAAAATATACAATTATTTGTAAAAAAAAAAAAAAAAAAAAAGAAAGAAAATTGATTTTGTCATTCGTTTACTTCCTTAGAAGCTGTGGGCTTGTGACCCACAGTTAAGGTCAGTGTTAGTTAAACAACTGGCTTGACCTATCTTTTTCCAGCTTACTGACTAGACTTTTAGTTGCTGGAGCAGTCGGTATAGGTGTTTTCATGGGAGAATTTACATAGACCCAAGGCTGTAGGTTGGATGGAGCAGGGACTGGCAGCCTGGCAACTGCGCCTCTCTGATCTGTTCGCTAAGGGGCTGAGAGGTGAGCCGAGCCCCATGTTGCTTGACTGCCTGAAAGGATGTATTTAATGATACACCAAGCCTGTTCGCAGAGAGTCCCCTTGAACTGCAGATGTCCCAGTCACCCCTTTGGACTTGCTGCAGGCGGCTGGTTTGACAGGTATTCAGAATCTACCTGCTGATGCAGTCCTTTCTTCCTAAGATCATAATGGTTTCTTTTACCTTCTACTTACCATCTAGATAGCGTTATGTAGCTCTCCCTAGGAAATCCATCTTGCCTGAGCTGTATTGTTTTTAGCTTCTGCTTGTCACTACTGGATTTTCAAAGGGCTCACCCCCAGGCTTGTACTGAGCATAGACCCTTGTCCCAATTACTCGGTGTTCTCCACACGCTGTTAGGAATGCAGAGGAGCTGGAGCCCTGGCTGCCTGGGCACTGTAGAAATGACATCTTGGCATTTGCCTCTCCTTTGAAAATTATATAATTAATTTCATTTACAAAAGAAGGTGGATAGCTGGTTTGCACTTATCAAGAGTCTTCGTGTGATACTGTTTCTATCAGAAGAGATTTTTTTTTTTAAGTTAAGGGCATTAGCACCATCAGTTTTTCAATTTTTCATTTTATGACAGTGAGCATGAGTTATAAAGTTAAACCACTGCATCTAGGATTAAGTTTGATTTAGACTGTGTGCAGGTTAAATAGCTTTGGTGTCAAACGGTAGTCTCCAAACTTGTTTAAGTAGCAGAATTTGGATGACATCTTATATGAAAGTCGAACATGCACAAAAAGTAAGAGCAGCATTGTTCTGGGGGGTTCAGGGCTTGAGCCAGAGCCTCTCTTCCACACCTCTTCAAGTCAACCACCTCATTTTATCCCTCCCCCACTCCACCGCCATACAGTTCTGCCTCTCTCCCACATCATCCCACTCCTGCCTATCTGCACCCCACCTCCACACCACCCCCAGCAGTAGCCTCTTCAGAACCCTTAGTTCTCAGCGCACTATAGTCTGAAAACGTCTCCCTGGGGACCTGTTTCCAGTGAACTTTGGTTCTCCTAGGATGGTTCATGTTTGATTAAAAAAAAATTAGGAAAAAAGTCTATTCCAGAGAGTACAGAAAACAGCAGCCCTATTCTCTATCAACCCCTTGCTTCTTTGGATATCAAGAACACTGGGTTTTCCAACCAAACACTTTTTATGAGAACCTTAACTAATTTTGAGACATTTGATAGTAACCCCCTTTAGCCCAGGTTTCCAGCTATTTATATTGGATTTCCAAGTAGAAATCATTTCACTATGTGAAGTAAAGTTAAGGCAGCTGCCTATAACGCTAGCTCTTGTTTTAGCCAAAAGTCCCCTCCTCCTCTTCCCTCCCTCCCCTACGTGAATCCCTTACAATGCTATTCTTTTTATAAAAAGCAAATCCTTCATTTGAACAAATTTCTAAGTTACAGAGGTGAATCGGATTTATTAATGCTGTGATCATTTGAAAACTTTTACATTTTTAAATTACAAGCATGGGTTAAGAAAAGCCAGAATTTGTTAAAAATTAAAGCTTTTTAAGAAGTTGGAAGTATATCTGTTTGAGAGGTGTTCTTTGTATAGTGAGTTTTTGATCTGAAAAATGGGTGAATGTAAGGGAGAATTTTCCCAGAAAAGAATTCTTTGCCATTCTCCAAATACCCACCTGCCAGGGCACTAGACTATTAACATCAGGGATTTTGAAAACTATCGATGACATATTGAATTTTTGTGGCTAGTTGCATACATTGATATTTTTTTCCAGTTTTTGTAGTGTGGTAAAATACACATAACATTAAATTTATCATCTTAACCATTTTTAAAAAATATATCTTTATTGATTTCAGAGAGAGGAAAGGAGAGGGAGAGAGAGAGAAACATCAGTGATGAGAGAATCGCTGATCATCTGCCTCCTGCACGCCCCTGACTGGGGATCGAGCCTGCAGCCCGCAACCTGGGCATGTGCCCTGACCGGGAATCGAACCCCGATCGCCTGGATCTTAGGTCGATGCTCAACCGCTGAGCCACGTCTGGCCGGGCATTGACCATTTTTAAGTGTACAGTTGAGTGGCATTATATGTATTCGTAATATTGTACAACCATCACTACCATCCGTCTCCATAATTCTTTTCATCTCATAAAACTGAAACTCTGTAGTGTCACTAAACAATAACCCCCAATTCCACGCCCCTCCTCACAACCACCATTTAACTTCCTGTCTCTATGAGTTTGACTACTCTAAGTATTTCGTATAAGTGGAATCATATAGTATTTGTCTTTTTGTCACTTGCTTATTTCACTTAGCATAATGTCCCCAGGTGCATCCGTGCTGTAGCATGTGTCAGAACCTCCTTCCTTTTTAAGGTGGACTATGTTCCATTGTATATGTAGAACACGTTTTGCTTATCCACTCATCCACTGATGGACGCTGGGTTGCTTCCACATTTTAGCTGTTGTGAATGCTGTTGTGGGGCACACCAGGAGTGGAATTACTTGGGTCATATGGTAGTTCTATTTTTAATTTTTGGAGGAACTGCCATACTGTTTTCCACAGTGGCTGCACCATTTTACATTCCCACCAACAGTGCGCAAGGGCTCCAATTTCTCTGTCTCTTCACCAACACTTTATTTTCTGTTTTTTGTATACTAGCCATCCTAATGGGTGTGAGGTAATATATACATTGATTTTTGAAGTAACATTTTCTAATTGTGTCCATTGATTTTATTAACAGTTCTCATATGACAGTAGCATCCGAAGCAGTGACCTCTCTCTCTCGTTCTCCTGGCTTTTGTAACCTACATTCTAGTTCCTTTCTTCTCAAATCACTCCTCCTCCATCTCAGGCCTAAACTGCAGCTCTGTCCTACATACTTAGACTTACATATCCAATGTACAAAGAGTACTTGGTGTCTCAGAAACATTTCAGATTTTACATGAATTCTTGATCTTCCCACCTCCAAAGAATCTTTCTGCTCCTCCAGTTTTTCTACTCAAGCAGAAACCTAGAACCATTATTATGTCTCTTTCTTTACCACTTGCCCAGGCCAATTTTAAGCCATGTCCTTTCTACCCCTGAAATCTATTTCCATTTCCACAGCCAACTTTATAGTCCAAATGAACATCAGTCTTGCCTCTTGGCTGGTCTTCCAGCTTCCGCTTTTACCTCACTTCAATCTATTCATAACAGATTAATCAATCTAAAGAGCCATTCTGGTTCTGTCTCTCACTGCTTAGCTTAAAAATTATTTACAGAATTATTTCCAAACATCCTGCCTTGGCATATTAGTCCTTTATAATCCAGCCTATCCCGCCAGCCCTGTCTCTTTCATCTTCACTTCTATGATGTGCTTCAGCCTACACTTGTAATGCCTCAAATGTGCTTTTGGCACATGTGGCCTCTGCCTAGGGCAGGGGTGGGGAATGTCCTGCCCGAGAAGTCACTTGGTCTGGCCCGGCCAAGGCAACCCCAGGCGGGACTCGAGATCAATAAATCTAGGAGCTTTTTTAATAGCTAATTTTTAAGTCGGTAATTTTGTATGGCCCGTGAATGATGTTATAAATATCCAAATGGCCCTTGGCAGAAGAAGGGCTCCCCACCCCTGGCTTAGAGCACCCTCCTTCTCAGACCATGTAGCAGCGGCCGCTCCCCTTCCGCGTGCTGACCCATCTGGCTAACACCTCCTTGTCCTTCAGAGTTCACCTCGGCACCCTTTTCGATGAAACCTGCCCAGGCCTGCGTTAGGTGCTCTATCAGAAATGCATTCAGCTGCAGCAGAAAACCCACAGTGTCTTAAACACATAGGGTGTATTTGCTGTGTTTTTTTCTCACATAAGAAGTCCAAAGATCAGCCATCCAAGGTAGGCACAGGTCCTCAAGGGCCTGGGCTCTGCCTATCTTTCTATTCCCCAATCTTAGTGTGTTGGCTCATCACCTAATAGTCACAAGGTGGCTGCTTCAGCTTTGGACAAGGTTTATATTCAAGGAAGGAAAAAGGAAGAGTATGTAGAGATAGCTATCTTTAAATCTTTTATTAGGAAAGCAAAACTTTCCCTTCTCATTAGTGAAAAATGGATCTTATGCCTACCCCTAGCTGCAAAGGAGGCTGGGAAATCAGGGGAAAGAATTGTCATGATTGACATGACCCCAAAACAAATCAAAGTGTGATTAGCATAGAAAAAGCAGGGAGTGGGTACTGGGAAAGCGGCTGACTGCCTGCCAAAGGTGATGCTCTCTGTGCTTGTCCCTGTAGTGGCAGAATCGCACTGCAGCCTTTCATGAGATGGTTAGGTCCACATGGGCAGGGACTGGTTCTTGATCTTCTTTGCCTCCATAGTGCCTAACACAATACCTGACACACAGTAGTTTCTCAACAAATACCAATTACACAAAACAACAAAATGAATGTATGTGTGTATTTAATACCTATATTTTGAATTAATTTTTAAAAGTCTATATTGTAGAAATTCATAACCCTATTTGCTATATAATAATATGGATCTATTATCTCAACAAAGCCATGGAATTCAGACCCAACTTTCAGAATACAGTTTCTTAGAGATAGTGTCAGCTCAATCCCAGATTATAACATTCTCACTGAACTGACAGTGACCCTTCCAGCTGGAGCCCCACATAGGAGGAGCCTACCTCCCTGGCCCTCCATTCAGCCTTGCGAAGAGACCTGGGATATGCCTCAAGGAAATAGGCAATGTGAACACCAAGTCTGATCCTTTTGTGCCTCCTTCCAATGAATGTGAAAATTCCATGCCAAAACTTTTTTTAAAACATAGACTCATCATGTCCCCGTAGACTTTATATCCCTCCTGTGAGTGGCACCATCAACCATGCAGCCATCAAAGCCAGAAAGCTGTGAGTCCTTGAGGCTGTCTCCCTCTTTACTGCAGTTGCCCGTTTATCTCTGAATTGTTCTTAGAACTGCTTGCTTGTCTCTGTCTCTGCCACTACTACAAGTGTAGACTCTTATCTTCTCTCCTGTGGATTGGCCAGAGCCTTCTGATTGGTTTCCCTGTTTCCAATCTTAACATTCTTAAAAACCACTTCCACATATCTCTTGGAGAGAGCTTTGTAAAATATGTCCTCATCCATGTCTTTGCCCTGTATAAAAACCTTCAGCCCCTCCTTATTGTCTTCAGCATAAAGTCTGAGCTCTCCATAAACTGCCCCAACTACTGCTGCAGCTTCACCTCTCACCCCCTGTACCTCCGACTTGATGTAACTACTAGAAACCACTTGGATTTCTTTTCTCACACTCAGCCACTTCTCACTTCCATAGCTTTGTTCTTGGGATTGCCTCTGCCCAGAAAGCCCTGTCCTGCCCTCGTCTCCTCCTTTGCTGGCTCTCACTCCCTCTTTAACACGCATCTGATTTGGGAAGGCTGCTGCTCCCTCTGTGCCGTAACTGAGCTTGGGGCCCTTCATCCTGAGCATAGCAGATTGTCTAATGATTGCCCCGCGTGTCTGCTCTACTGGATGCGAAAGTGCACTCCCTGAGGGCAGGGGCGCTCATGACTCCTCCTTGTGCCCTCAGCATCTGCCACGGAGTAAGCAGCCAATTCATTTCTGTTGACTGGCTGAATGAAGGAATAAAAAGGGAAAGAAGGCAGCTTTCAGACTTGTCAAAGAGGCTGCAATGTTATTAACATAATTTTGACATTTAAGTAGGCGTAGTGTTTTTATATCAATATATCTATTCCCATATGCCTGTTTACTTTTATCATGTATGCTATAAATGCTGTGTTATATTCCTGATAAAGATGTATTCTGCATTTGGTTTTTAGGTTAAAGCCATTCACATCCATTCTGACATGTTCTCAGTTCAAAATGGCTTGCTGACACCAACACTAAAGGCTAAGAGACCTGAGCTGAGAGAGCACTTCAAAAAACAAATAGAAGAGCTTTACTCAACCTCCATGTGAAGTTCAAGGGAAGTTCTTCTCAGTACAATGGACTGTGTAGCAATATTATAGTTACTATTGAAAGTAATGAGTCAGAATGATGCAGCCGAAAATTAATAAGCACGTGACTTTATGACTGAGCCTTTTCCTGTCCCAAGAGGTCTTTAACAATATTTTCTCTATCATCACCGAATACACTTTATTTTTATTAAAATGATATTGTAGCGAGCTGCTAAAAATCTTGCAAATGGCAATGTAAAAATCAAGACTTTTCTCAAGAACTGTGTACCACTAAAAGAAATACATTCTCAATGTTCACAGCACTCCTATTAAATGTAAAGGAAAAACATAATTGATATATTGTACTTAATTACTTGTGAAATAGAAACCAGATACAGCAAATATCTAGGCAATGTGGACTACCTCATTCAATAACTGATTGTCAAAATCATAATTAGATCAGACTTAAAAATTAAAACTAGGTGTACAGAATCATGCTAAAGTAAAACAACTCACATTCTACATAACTTCAGATTCTTCAAACATGACAATCCTTGTTGATGTGAAGTTTTCTCTAATTTTTACGTTTATTCATGGAAAATGCAAATTCAGATATTCTTAAAACAAATGTTATACTTATATAACATGTTACAAAAATCTTTCAATACATTTTTTCGTTTATAAGCTCATTAAAATACTTAGTAACTACCTAGAAAAAAAATATAACATATAACTGCTTCAAGAATAGTATGTATATATGCTTGGACCTCTTACCACATGAATTCTACAAGCTGTCTGTCAACTCTACAGTGAATGGACCTTTGGGGAAGACTTGTGAAGAGAAACCCAGAATTATTTCTCAGGGTGGGCAGCCATTAATGTACCTATGTTCCTTGCTGGGTTCTTCCAGTCTTCCATTCTCAATATGTCCATGCCAGGCCTGGGAAACCCAAAATGGCTATAATTCTGAACAATTTCACTTTCTTTCAGTAAGACTATCAAAGCACGACATGGGGAGGAAGGAATGTTATTTACAAATAAACTAATTTTCCCACAACATAATTTTGAAGAACCTCTTCAAAATACCCCTGGAAAACTTTGAAGTCCCTCATAGATAAATATCTCCTTGGGGCAGGCATAATTCCATTCATAAAATCTGAAATGCTTCTAAACTCAACCACAAAAACCTCTCTTGCATTATGTATTTAGACACTTGCACCTGGGTGTTAGCAATTTCATATAATTAAAGCCCAGCATGAACAGCAATTAAGGCCCAAGCTACAAACTCTGTCTGCAGAGGGAAACGTCCCTAGGAAAGTGTTTTTTTGTTGTTATTGACTTGAGAGAGAGAGAGAGAGAGAGAAAGAGAGAGAGAGACGGAAACATCAATTGTTGTTCCATTTATTTATACGTTCATTGGTTGTTTTTTGTATGTGCTCTGATGGGGGGATCAAACCCACAACCTTAGTGTGTCGGGATGATGCTCTAACCAGCTGAGCTACCTGGCCAGGACGAAATTTTCTTTAGAGACAGGACTCTGAAAGCAGAGATGAGGGCAGTGTCCACAGTCCAGAAACCCTTTTCCCCTGGAGCAAATCCAAACTGTAAGTTAAAAACTGTAGTTACACAGCTCTTCTGGATGAGTGTGCCTCAGTGATTACACACGTACAGTTCAGTTGTGGCAAAAGCTGGTCACAGCTTCGTTGGCTGTATTTATCCAGTTCTTTACATATATCCTGTGGCATATTATCTTTGCATACCCACTATTTGCACTTACAAATTTAACTTTTCATAAATGAGCTAGTTCTACACACATTAATTTTTAAAGGCATTTCTGAATAAACAAATACTAGAAAATGCCAAACCCCATATCTATATAGCATTAATTTTTTATATTTTATGTATATTTGACTAATGAAAAGGGAAAAATTATTACCCGAATTGAATAGTCCTACTATTTATTCAAGGCAAGTAGCTTCACACCTTGAAGAAAATGAAGCTGTTTCCTGTTGTCCTTCCATTCAGCTTAATTGCCTAGTTGGCTTTGTTTCCAAAAGGATTTTGACAATGTCATATAACCAAGTAATTTAAAACTTATTTTCATTCTATTTATACCTCATAGTAGTTAGATATGGTTGAATATGGACAATGTAAGATTTCTTCTTTTTCTTATTTTGAAGATCTTATGTTTCTACCAGCCTTCCTGATCTGTGTGAAATCATCACGCTTGGGCCAATAAAAAAGTTACTGCAGATGTGCTGAGAGAAGTGAACAGTGGGCCCTAAATATATTGCATGTACATTTATCTATTCTTCTGTTTAACTCCACTGAATTTTTTTAATAAAGGAGAAATGAAACAGTATGTATTAATGAAAAAAAATCCTTCTTGCTTCAGATTTCCCAGCTTTATTTAGGGGGAAAAGGCTTGTATTTCTCTTTAACCAATATAGAAAAAGGCTATGTACTTAAGACATTCACCTTCATAGTGGATGCCAGACCCAATTTAAGTCTAGAGGTACAACAGAGGTCAATTCCTTAAGCATAAACATGTTCTTAAACACTTGGCCTTGTATGTTTCTCATTCAAATGTGTTAGTAATTCTCACATTTTATAGACTAATCTTGTGTATATTTTAAAACAGAATATGCACCAATATTTTTCCCTTTGCCATAAAGGACATCTCTACAGTGTACTGTGATTCCCCCCAGGTGAGAGAGGAAACCGACCAGGTGTGTGTGCAGGCCTTGCTCCACCTGTTAGGGACTCACAAACTCAGGAGTCCAAGGAATGAATATACCATGTCTCCCTCACACGAGCAAGTCAACCTTTCATTCCCAATTTAGGTAAAACTGCAAGCATGAGAAAAATTAGAACTTTCCATTGCTATTTTTATAGTCAGGTGATGTTTTAGCAACTTGAAGTCGGCACTTAACTTGATTGTAATACCCATCGGAGAACCAATAATCTTATTTTTCTGCAGTAAAGAAAATGAATTATTCTTTATTTTCCAAATGTATAAAGCACAAATGTGATCTAGTTATTTAGAATACAAAATACTACGAAATGAATGTAAAGAATGGAAAATGTATTTTTGCATGAAAACAGACTACTTACAAACTTGCTTAATTATCTCAGGAAAAAATGAATAATCGTATATAAAATTGATCAACTATATATTGAGCTAAGTTGCTGCATTTTCTTGCCTGTTTTACTTTAAAGAAGCATACACATGAAAAGACAAAATGATCCTGGTAGTCTGAATTTTCTCTCCAGTATGCTGCACAGTCCTTTCTGTGATTCTACAATTAACGGCAGTAAGAATGGGATTAGCATTCAAGTGAGGACAAAGCCCCAACTGGGAAACTTCAGTTAGACTATGTGAATGGTTATCACTCAGCGGCAATAGATAAATACCTGGAATACAAGCATTTCTAAACCTGGTCCCAAACTGAAAAGGTTTTCATGAGGTGACAGTTGCTTTTAATCATTCATTTGACTGGTTATTTTAATTTTCCTTGTTAAGTCATTGCAACAAGTGCATGGGGGGAAAAAATGGATATTTTTTGAAGAATTGCTTATTCTACTTTCAATTTTTAAAAGGGAGATTAAAATATTTACTTTTTAAATATGCATAAGAGTATCTTAACTATCATTATATTTTAGTTGCTTTGTTTTTAATTGCATGCCTATCAAATATAAAATGCATTTATGAAAACTTTTGTAAAAAATAAAGATTTGTTTCTCAAAGTTGCTTATAATTACTATTTTATATGTTCATATGGCATACTCCTGTGATGTTAGTATATTTGGTAATCATCGATCATAGTGCTTATGGTAAACATGGTATCAAGCCATGTCACTAGTCTGCATACTCCACATCCTCTGTAAGGGTCCCCAAACTTCCAAGCCTTTTGGTCCCTCAAGAGGCTCTCCTTTATTTTATTTTTTATGTGTTGTTGTTTTTTTTTAATTTATTACTGACTTCAGAGAGAAAAGAAGGGAGAGGGAGAAATAGAAACATCAATGATGAGAGTCATTGATCTGCCGCCCCTGGCACGCCCCCTACTGGGGATCGAGCCCGAAAGCCAGACATGTGCCCTGCCCTGAACCATGACATGACCTGGTTCATAGGTTGACGCTCAACCACTGAGCCAAGGCGGCCAGGATCTCCTTTGCTTTGAATATATTCTGTTACCGAATATGTCCTGGATTTAAATCACTTTTATACTTTTAAAACAACAAATATAACAATATTTTCATAATGCCTTTTACCCACATACAAATTAACAGGTATACTTTCTTAAAATGGTACGTTCTGCCATTTGCCATTCTAAATTATGCAGATTCTGCCTTCTTTATATTTGCTAGGCCTCCACTCTTCTCTATTCTCACAGTTTTTAGTGTAATTGGCTCCACTCTCATCTCTTGTCTGGAATATTATAGTGCTTTCTTAATTAGTCTTTCATTTCCATCCGAGCTTCCTCAAATTTCACTATCCACATTTCAGTCACGGTGACCTTTCTAAGTTGAAAATCTGGTCATGCCACTCTCCTAATTAATATTCCGTCAATGACTTCCCATAGTTTCCAGAATAAAGTTCAGACTCCCTGGTTTAGCACACAAGGCCCAGAACCTCTTCTCCTGCCCTTCCCCCATGGAGTCTTGGCTCCAATCATACCAACTACTTTTTGTAGTGACCTAAAAGCATCATGTTTTTCTGTGCCTCCATGTGGCACATAGTTCCCTTTTTGTAGAATGCCCTTCCTTCAATCCCTCTAACTCCTACCATTCATCTCTTAAAACTCAGCTCAGGTATTATTTTCTCTGAGAGCTTGACTGGTTGATTGTCCTTCTGCCCTACCCCCACTCTGACTGTGAGTTTCTTGAGTTTGTAGCTCCAGTGCAGAAGGTCTGGGCCATGATGGATGCTCAAGAAAAGTCTATTGAATGAAAATACCCTTGTCCTTTTTTTTTTTCCCCATTTGTTGCATAGCATTAAGACTGCAATGCCTGAAGGTACATCTCATCTAACACTGATTTTTTTTTTTTTTTTTCCCATTCTTGACAATTAAGCTTAAATAAACTGGTTTTCAGTTGGGCCCTAAAGCCTGTGGATGGTACCACAATTGAAGCTGCTCAGTGGGTCAATTTAAAAAAAAATACACTGAAAAACATTATTCATAAAGATTTCTTCTGACTCCAGGGAATCCTAAACCCACAAACTGGCTGTTTTCCAAAAAACTCTCTTCAGAAATCTCTTCAAAATTTGCAGTTTGTTTTCCTATGGAAGGTAGCATCTCCATGACTGTCCCAAACCTAATCAAATCCATCATCACATGACTGAAATGAAACACTGATAGCAGAATCCTGAGTGTAGATGTGGGAGCAGTACAACAGGGAAATAGAAGAAGTTCAACACTAATGACTGAATGTCTATATTGGTGTTTGTGTATTTGGAGATGGGGTGAGGGAACACAGAGAGATGACTGAGTTGAGATTTGTCTCTGCCCTACCTCACCCTTTTGTAGGAGACACATTTTCTTCCCCTTTTATAGGCTGGCTCTAAGTGAAGTTTTAAACAGACCAAGTCTGTCTGTAGTCCCTTCCTCTCCCCTTGCTACCAAGGACTTCAAGCTCCTTGCCTTGCCCCCCATCTATTGCCCAGCCATGTGTTAGGAGGAATGGGAGCATGACAAGCACATGCCAAATGTCAGGAGATCCATGCCATCTATGCCAACCATCTGTCATAATGAGCCTCCCTAGGCTGTAGTTTCTTCAGCTGCATAATGAGGGGCAACTGGGTCATCTCTAAGGACGCTTTTGGCTCAAGAAATCATACTAAAGGTTATTTCCAGTTTCGAAACCCATTAACTCCCTTAAATCTTTACTTGATGGCACTTCAGTAAATGTATTTCAAAGTTCTAGAAATGTAAGACAGAGTTCTAAGGGAATAGAGCCACCAAAGGGTGGGTCAACCTTTGCTTTAAGGTGTTTTCCTCTCTCAGTGTTTCTGGCATTTCTAGGCCTAGGGCATCCCAGGACCCTGACTCTCCAAAGGTTATTTAAGAAAGGGAGAGAGGGGAGCCTGGAGATGTGGCTTATAACTAGAGGCTGGCTGTCAGCATATTATGGTTATGAGTAAAGAAAGGATATTGAAATATGATCATTGATTTATACTGCAACAAAACTGTGAGATCCTTGACTGAAGGGTTATTTCTAATTCACCTCTATCCCCAGGACCTACCACAGTGCCTAACACAGAATAAGGCGCTGAGTAAGTATGATTCAGTGACTCAAAATACTCTAATCAGGTAAGAATGACTACCCTCTGTTCTTTATGAAGTTAAGTTTTAATATATTAATTATATATTAAATCGATTGTCATGACTTTCTATGAGCAGATTTGAAATAAAAAATTCAGAGTGATACAAAAATATAGCGGCTATATATGTGTTTATAGTCACACACAATATTGGAGCATCACAGAAAAATCTTTGAGTTTTTGTAATTTCATCTCTACAAATGTCATTTTTTTTAAAGATTGTTTTTAATTTTTTAAAATTTATCTTTATTGTTGAAAGTATCACAGATGTCCCCTTTTCTCCCCCACTGACAAACTCCACCCCCCC